ACCGGTTATGAATTGCAATAATAAGTTTATTTGTGTGATATTTTGGAGAAGGTAAAAAGCAAAGTCAACTTTGAATATTGCATTGCAATCTATGATTCACAAATAAGGTAATTCTTTCTGAACATGAGTTTCTCATAAGGCATAATGTGTCTTCTTTATGCATCTACTTAAATAGGTACAATATTTTTTGTCTTTTCCAGCCACTTTGTTGCCAAGACTATGTCTTTCTTATTCTAAAGCAGTTAACTAAATTTTGTGAAAAGTAGCAAAATAAAAAGGTAATTGAACATTCAAATAGATAACCTGGGGATTTGATACTAAAATTGGTGTGTTGCAGATGGTTGGTAAAATAGAAACTGTCTCTAAACAATATTCATATTCATCTATAACAAGTATATATTTATTGCTTTTTCGAGCCACTCAATGTGTAACTTTTCTTCTGTTAATTTGTATACAAAATTGTTGCAGCAGAGCTTCATAATTTTTTAGTAATGTCAGCTACCCTAATTTGATAATGTGTTCCAATTTTGTTTGTTTTGACATGTTCAAGGAAAATTTCAGCCAAAAACATCTATATCTGATATAGTAGCAATTATGACAATAATTTTCTGTATATAATATTATATGTTCTGGTCATAACAAAAGAGGACATAGATTGGAATGAGAGAATATATATTTATTTTGTGTAGAAGTAGGAAATTTAACATTTAAGATTCAAAATACAGGAAACAATTATCAATCAAAAGGTCATGACAAACATATTACAAAAGAAAATCTTAAAACATTAACTTAACTATATTACAAACAGAATGCCTATTACATAAGTCATATTATCATATCCAAAACCAAACTTTGACTATATATTTTGGATTGTTGTCATCTTGAAATATCACTTCATGACCTTCCTTCAATCCGTTTTCATGACAAAATTACTTCCACCCTTTTTCTAATTTTGGAGGATTTTTTTGGTTGCTCTCTAATAAGAAGTTTACAACGAACATGACTTACTTCTCCATAGAGTAATAAAGTTTTGAATCTACCTCTACGAACATAAGCTACAAAATCCAATGGCAAATCCTATTAAAGATTGAAAGCTAAAAATTAAAATATCACTATAATGATAAGAAGTTATAAAAGAATGAGAATAAGAATAGAGATCAAACCAAATGACTTCCTTTGCTTTGGGAAATTCATAAGCAATGATATATTATTTGAAATAATTTCATAAAAAAATTGAAATATGATGATACAAAAATAGCTTTGATTAGTACCTAGGCATGACTTTCATGACATGTTTATTACATTTTTCACATAAAAACATTATGGAATCTCGATATACTGCTTTGTTGCACACGCAAGCTGTATACCTAGGGATGGCAAAACGGGTCAGTCTGTCCCGCCAAAAGCGGGGTGGGGCAGGCTACAGGTCTCGGCTGTCCCGCCAAAGGATGGGCTGGCGGGTTGGCCTGTCATATTTCTTATTTTATTTTATTTTATTATTTTTAAATCAAATCTTTCAATAAATTTAATAATAAATTTATCATTGTCAACAATTCATATATATATATATATATATATTTCAAGTTAATAATATAAATTGATATATTAGTTTAATAAATTATATTTTAGAACAATTAAATTAAGATAAAATTTTATTGTATCACAATAAAAAAAATTAGTAAAGCGGGTCACGAGGCTAGCCCGGGTAGGCTCGACGAGCTTGGCGGGACGGGACAAAACAGACTAAAAGTACTAACTCGCTCCACCATATTATAACGGGTTGGCGGGCCGGCCGTCGAGCCTGACCCGTTTGCCATCTCTATGTATATCACCAATCATCATCTTGAACAATATGTTTTATAGTGCCAAGAATTAACTTTTTTCATGTAAAAACAACTATGAACAATAGTAATTAAAATTAAAATGAATAGACAATAACCACAATAAACATCACTAATTAATAGAAATGAACTAATTAATAGACTAATAATAACTATGACATCTGTTTACAATCTTTTAAACCCTCTATTGTATTTCTAGGAGTAGATTGAAGGATTTCATCTTCATTGGTTTGTTTAGAAGAGTCAGAAAGTTGGCTTAACCCTTGGGTAGGTGACTCCATACTCTAAGACATATTACATTTAACAAAACATGAAAAGTTAAATGGACATTTTAGTTGGTTAACACTTAAAGTGAAATTTCTGATTTACACCTTTTTTTAAGTTGTCTAGCTTCTTCGCACTGAGCATTGAAAATGATCATTGTACAATCAAGACAATCTTGCACATATACTTTAAATAACATAAATATATAAAACTATAATATAATATCAATAATTGTGACTAACCGTAACTAATTATAACACCAATATATTAGTTACCTTGGAAGATTTTGACCTTGCCGAATTGTATGATTATGACTGGATTTTGGATATCTCCTTATGCAAGAAATGTATTTAGATCATCAACATATTGTCCAAACAACATACACCCTACTCTAAAACTAAGTTTGAAAAATAATACATGTTGAACAAAAATTAAATTGTTCAATAGTAAACCCTTAAGCATCAATAAATGAATTAAAGAACTTTACCCATTATCGTCTAAGCATATCATGTTTAGTTTTTTTTTTTTTTTTTCATTCTTGTCTAGCTCTCTTTCTGTCCCAACTCCTATAAGTATTCCTATGATATCTATTTGTGAAATGATGTTTTATGTGAATAACGCCATATACTAAATGATAAATAAATAGTATATGATAAAATAAAGTATTTAACATCATGTTATATGCACTTACCAACCAATTAATCTGTGTCAAATTCAGGAGCCGTAATAATTGAGAGCGGTATATATTGACCATTATTTTCAGTTATAACATGGCGATCAACTAAGTTCACTTTGGTTCCAAACTGGAAGTTGATTTTGTATGGGTGGGTGGGTGGTTCTATAAGAACCACCATTTGATCCAAGACCAAAATTTTGAATAGAGTACACACGCTCCTCAATAATTTCATTTTGAAATTTATAGATGACAGACCTCCTAATAGAAGCCTGAATTTTGTCACCCTGCATTAAGAAAATGAAATGACAAATGAGTGTAATTTGAAATGTATTGAAAGCATGGTAGTGCAACTGACCTTCATATCTTGCATGACAAAATCCATGAAAAATTGCAATTTGTGTTTAGTGAAATCTGAAATAAACCACAGGCGTCCTTTGCTAATATATTCAAATTTTCTTTTTTAGCATTAAGTTCTGAAATAGAGTGATACCTTTTTTGCAAATTAGACATGTTTCAAATTGAATGTAAATGTTAAGGTTCCAACATAAAACCAATTGACAATATGTGGAGTAGCCTAACATGTATTTAAACCATACCAAATGACATGAGGTAGGCGATGTGAGACTTTCAACGCATCCCCTCCAACGAAGCCTGCCGGACCAGGCAAAGGGTACTTTTGACCCAACTAAAGGGCAACTTTTGACCCATGACAATAACCGGAAAGATGTTAGGCTTTGGCTCTGATACCATGTTAAGGTTCCAACATAAAACCAATTGGCAATATGTGGAGTAGCCTAACATGTATTTAAACCATACCAAATGACATGAGGTAGGCGATGTGAGACTTTCAACAGTAAAAAACAGATGGAGAATAACCCATTCAACGTTGAAATATTGTCATCACAGATGTATACTTATAAACATGATGAAAAGAGGGAAATGCTGCCTGTATTCTAGAATTTGAAATTTGAAATTTGAAATGTTGATAATATTAAAGTAGTCTGAATTCAAACTTTTGTAAAGTGAAGATATTACCATTTTCATGTATCGGGTTATATTTCTGTCATGATCTAAAAAGTTGCAATTTTTATACCTCCAGGTTGAGTTAACTCGTAAGTAAATGCATCAGTATGCAAAATTACATAAAACTATACTGAAACAGGTATAAACAAATCTACAACCCTAATGATGGTTAAAGAAGACAATATTGAACCCTAATCGTGATAAAAAAGCAAACTTTTTTAGGGAAAAAAATTTCAACTTCGCTCTTAAAGGTAAACAAAATAAACATTGTAAATCGGTAACTTTTAAATTCAAAAACCTTACATCAAAGCAAATCAGTAACCTTTTTTACGAAATCGGTAACCTTTGAATGAAAAATATTTAGATCCAAAAGTAAATCGATAAGAAAGATAACATAACCTATCTGAATGTACATATAAAAATCATATCTAAATGTACATATAAAAATCCTACTTAAAGAAAGTCGTATAACAAAAGAGATTTAATGTTTCTTTTGAAACACTATTCTAAGCAATGTATTTAACCGCTTGAATGTTCAATTACTTAGTGATAAAGACATGGAAGGAAGAAGGCTAGCTTTGTCCTTTGTCCTTTTCTAAAAATAGGTATGTTTTGTACATATTTTCATTTTGAATGTTTTTGAAAAAAATTATGGTAGTGACAAATGTAAAAACTTGCTATTTGTGTTGCCTGAATTTGTATACAGTTATAGATGTGGTAAAAAAAGGTTGAAATGGTAGTAATAATGTAACAAAAAATGCAAAATAGAGAGATGTCTATTGTGGTCTCAAAATAATACTTGACGTGCGTTTGATTTGAAGGATTCACTACTTCCGATTTACTAAAACGGAAAACATGCGTCTTGATGGATTAGTTTCACTAATTTAATCTTCGTATTCCTGAAAAATGAACATTCCCACTCTTTAGATCAAGCTCGAGAATTGGTGACCAAATTTCCTCACCTACCCAAAAGTTAATTCCTCCTCAGGCCTATTATGACTAAAATACGGTTTCAAAACTAAATAGAAGAATTCTCGGTAAAATCAAACGTAGACCAACAATTACTCATTAATCCTCTCAAAATTGTTCGGGGAAGGAGCTTCAATATTTTTCCCTTAGAAGTAAAAACTAAAATTAACAATTGTTCCAAACACGATAAAACAATACATAATGATCACAAGGTAAAACTCCAGAACTCAAACTCTAAACCCTCTGCTATTCCTTCTCCCTCTCGCCCGCTCAAATTTCCGTCCCTTTGAACGAACATAGGGCTTGGTGTGGCTATGGGGCACACCAGGAGCCGGACCAAAGTGCTTGACAGCCTCACGAGCATTCTTAGGACCTCTAAGAAGAACCTGAAACAATATTCCATGACAAATGTCAGCTTCAAAGCGACAAACACTTCCCTCACAGCATGGAAAAGGCAGAGCTTGCATTATTTTTTTTTTTTTCTTCCTTCTATAACGAACACGAAAGAGCAAGAATACTGGATCACACAGACAACAATAACAAAGTTCATCCATACTTAAAACTATATATAGGTATGAAATCGGATGAACGAGATTGAAAGTTTAAAACAGAAAGCACAACAGTTTTGGTATGAACAACAGAAGAAACATTGCTGACAAACAAAATTATGCACCATCCTTGTACTATACATGAGCAAAATAAATCAAATGAATTCTAGACTGCATAAACATTTATCTTCCAGTTGATTTTCACTTTCACAAAGATAAGTGGTCAAAAGCCAACACAATCATCGAGATTACCCAGAATGTATCAAGTAACTATTACATGGGACAAGTGCACACAGGGTTATACTGAGGAATAACACCTTGCAGCAGAGGATAAAATAAAAAAATTGCTAGTTTGCTAAGATAACATACAGTGACATAAAGTTTATTAATCAGAGATTGTCCCGGAAGCAAAGCTAACTACCAAGAGAAGACAAATTTTGACAAAAATACCTCATAAATTACAAGGTTACAGTAGAAGCCTTAGAACCTATTTAGATGACCTTATATACAAATATTTGGTTCATTTTACCTTTTTATAATAAGAAAGTTTAATTACTCTTTTCAATAACTAGGAGGTATAGCCCCTCCCACCGGGTGGGACCTATTTTGGGGGTAAAGCGGAATCTCCATACCCAAGCCGGGGGAATTGAACCCCAGATTTCGGTTAAGGAACCAAAATGCTGCTAACAACATTTAGGTTGATTACTCATTTGCTTCTTATAGTTATACTTGCTTTACGTTCTCGTCCTTGTATTTAAAAATCATTCATTTTAATCATCACATATAATTTTCAATCTCTCTTAGTCCCTACTGTCTGAACATCTAAGAAATAGATCGGTAATTAAACCTTGCAAGTAAATGAGTTTTCATAGAAAAATATATAAAACAAAACAAATAATAATCATACCGTGTTCTGGCCGAGTGGAGCTCTAAGAGCCAGTTGATCAAAGGTGAGGCATTCCCCGCCAGCTTTCTCAATTCTAGCTCTGGCAGTTTCAGTGAACCTCAGCGCTGTAACCTTCAGAGCAGGGACTTCGTATACACGAGTATCATCGGTCACGGCACCAACCACCACAGCTATCTTATCCTCCTAGTGAAATAAATCCAAAGAAAACGCATCAATGCCAGTTTTTATTATGACTTCAAATGATAACAAATTTACGATTAAATAGAATAGATGAAGAGAAAAGCTAGGCATTAACCTTTCCCTTGGTGTAACGGATCAATCTAGAGAGGGATAGCGGAGGCTTGTTGACCTTGCTCATGAAAAGACGCTTAAGGACCACGGCATTGAAATTACTCCCAGTCCTCCGAACAAGAAAACGATACAACTAAAAACATATCGAACATTTCAATTACAAAATCCTCAATCATTCATTCACAGTGATGCACGAGAAACAAGAAGTACCTTGACAAGGAGCTTAAGGTAGATATCATCGGATTTTGGGGCGGTTCGCTTTGTCTTCTTCGACTTACCTCCTGCCTTCAGATCGATTCCCTGTAATACAGTTGAAACAGTCAGACAAACTCTCGGAGGATAGATGCGTGACGGTGTTAAGGGAAACGTACCATTGCTAATGGAGCTTCTCGCCGCCGCTGCTACTGCTGCTGCCGTCACTGAGGGGGGAAATTATGCTAGGGTTTTGGAGTGGGTGTGATGAATTTATTTATCACTTTTTTGCACGGTTAAAAGTCCGATTCATTTCGGGCCACGTCTACGACCCGTTTAGGGAAATGCCAAATCTTAGGAAATAATTTTTTGAGGAACTTATTTTACAATAAAAAATTTACAATTCTTTATATTTTTTATCATATTTCTAATTTATGCTACACCTTTTTATCGTGTACATTTTTATAAAAAAATAAATAATTTTTTTTATCAATTACCAATAATATACATATATAATTTGTATATATTTTTACAGATAAAAAGAATATTTACATTTTTCAAACTTTGGTTGATTCAGTACCAAAGTGATAAGATAAATATTTGAATACTTTATTGAGAAATACAATCTACTGTGTCAAACAAATGTTGGATTGATTCTGATAATGAATACATATTTTATTTTGCTTGAAATATATACCATATTTATGTCGAATAATGTACAAACAATAGTTTCAAAACATAATTAAGTATTTGGTAATCAAATAATATTTTATTTAAATTAATTTTATAGTATTATAAATTAACTAATTACTCCTCCGTTATTCATATAACTTAAAAATTGAAATTAAAGATAGTTAAATTAACTATTTCTCACATTTTAAAGTTAAATATAATAAATAAAAATTTTAAAATGGACAATATATTATAATGGATATAAAATTAGAATATTCTCATCTTTTAATAGAACATTAAATCAGAACTCTAAAATAAATAAATAATTCTTCAGAATAAAAATTAACCTTCATTATATTATGATGTTATCCTAAACGTAATATTAATAAAACTAAATTAATCAATTGATTTTTCACTTCAGATGATATAAATCAACTGGCAAACTGAAATTAAGTAATTAATTAATTACAAATAAAAATTAATGTAATCAAATACTATCTATTATAACTAATCAAAATAAATATTGACTATTGCAAAATATTAATGAATAAACTAATTTCAATTATTGAATTTAAAAATATTTATAATTTACAACATATTTAATTTTTGAATTCTTTTTATATAGTCCGTTTCAGGTACTCTTATCCCTAATTAGTTTTATGTTCCCTCCATCCCATATTTTTTATCTAACTTGTCATTATATTTTATTGAATTTAAAAAAGTATAATAATAATCCTTTTTTAAATTAAAATATCAACAAAAATATCTTAAATTTGTATAATAACGACAACCATCAGTCAGCAACATGTATCTTGAAATCCTAAATCGTTTTTTCTTTTTTTCGAAAATTACAGTGTGACCAGAATACTTGTTTCCGTTTATATGATACTCAGTAATTAAAGGTTTACCTCATATTAATCTGTTTCGATAGAAAAAAAGTATAATATTTTGTTTAAGAAAATATTTTCCATATGTATTTTATATATTAAAATTAACTTTACCATTTAATATACAAAGTTTTAAAGCTTGAAAAATATAATAAAAATAATACGCCACTTTTATAATCAAAATATTAAAAAAAATATAAGTCAAATCAAATAATTATAACATAAAATGTATTTAATAATTAATTATAAAAGTCAATTGTAAAAAAGTAAAAATCGTATTAACAATTTTTTTTAACTAATTTTTTCTGTAACTGTTAGGGTATTATTCTTGGCTATATATTTTCAAAAATACCTCACAAAGATGGACATATTTATAAAAACAAACAAAAATAGTGCAATGTTTTCAATAATAAGGTGGACACATTAGAAAAAATGGTACTTAGAAGCATTTTTGTTTATATAAGTTAAACAAAACATAAAATATGTTTGAAATTCGTTTTTTTATATAGTTTTTTTTTAAAGCAGTAGAGTCTAGAATTGTGAAATTTGTATAATGATCTTTTTACACACAATATTATTTTTAAAATAAATTTATTTTCGTAAATAAAAAATAAATTATACCGATCTGGGAAAAAAAAATTATAATTCGCGTAGCAGGGACAAGACAAGGGGGTTCATCAAATATGCTGTCCAGAGGCATTTGAGTCACCATCGGTGATCACAATCTGTATTCAATTATCTCTCTTTCATACATTCACTGCTTTCAGAGTGTCACGTGCATAAGAATGATGCGAATATACATCCATACTCTATATCAGGTGGAAATGAGAAAAAGAAGTAAAAAAATACAAGTGATTCGATAAATAGTATAATAAAAAATTAAAATAAGAAATGAGATGAAAACAATCGAGAGGAAACTGTTTATTCATAATAACACATTTGATCTAGATGATTAATTAGATTTTTGCATATACATGAATATTAATTAATTAATTTAATAAGTAAATTTAACAATACACAATATTTAAAATGCACACAAAACATTCTTTTGATTTTAAACCTTATCTTCTTCTGGAAGTTAAGAGTTTATTTGTTTGAACTAAAAAATGGAAAAAAAATTGAACTATGCTTATTCTTTCTTGGTCTGGTTGTTGACTGGTTCACTCATTTGCCATTTTATTTAACATATTTATTTAAAATAAATATCATTTAAAAAATAGAATAGTTAAAATCATATAATTAGTTTGTTACGAGTAGTTACACCCACCGCATTGCATAAAGCTTATTTTTAATATTTAATTGTTTAATAATCATTTATAATTTTGCCAAGTCTGAAATAAAGAATTTTCGTTTATCTATTTAATTACCAAAATACCCCCAGAAGATTACGGAATACCCAAACTAAAGACTTCCGATGACTCTTATGGCGTGTCCGAAAATTTTCTGAATCCCTAATTTTTCTCCTCCTGCCACGGGCGCACCGACGACAATGCTATCCTCCAAACCCCCGCGCCGGAAAATCGTTCCGGCGAACGGTGATGAGTCCGCCGATAAACTGGACCAGCTTCTCTTATCCTCTGCCATATGCAACAACGAGGACTTAGGCCCGTTCATCCGCAAGGCTTTTGCCTCGGGCAAGCCGGAGACGCTCCACCATCACCTGCGTCACTTCGCGCGCTCGAAGGAGTCCGAGATCGAGGAAGTGTGTAAGGCTCACTACCAGGACTTCATCCTCGCCGTCGACGATCTACGATCCCTCCTCTCCGACGTCGATTCGCTGAAGTCCTCCCTCTCTGACTCCAACTCGCGGCTCCAGTCCGTCGCGCGCCCGCTCCTCTCGTCGCTTGACGCCTTCGTAGAGACGCGTAACGTCTCGAAGAACGTGAACCTGGCCATTGACTCCGTCCGCACTTGCGTCAAGCTGATGGAGGTTTGCACGCGGGCCAACCGCCATCTCGCGGAGGACAACTTCTATATGGCGCTGAAGTGCATGGACGCGATCGAGCGGGAGTACTTGGACAAAACGGCGTCCTCCACGCTGAAGCGGATGCTGGAGAAGAAGATTCCAGAGATTCGGTCGTACATCGAGAGGAAGGTGAACAAAGAATTCGGGGACTGGTTAGTGGAGATCCGAGTCGTGAGTCGCAATTTAGGTCAATTGGCGATAGGTCAAGCCTCGTCAGCGAGGCAGAGAGAAGAGGATCTAAGAATTAAGCAGCGCCAAGCAGAGGAACAGAGTAGACTCAGCGTTAGGGACTGTATTTACGCTTTGGAGGAAGAAGATGAAGACGGAATCATAGCTGGCGGGATCGGCGAAGACGGCGGTGGAGTCGCTGGGTTTGATTTGACTTCGTTGTACAGGGCATACCATATTCATCAGACTTTAGGGTTAGAGGATCGGTTTAAGCAGTATTATTATGAGAACCGGAAGCTTCAGTTGACTTCGGACTTTCAGGTCTCGTCGATGACTCCTTTTCTGGAGTCGCATCAAACATTCTTTGCGCAGATTGCAGGGTTCTTTGTGGTGGAGGATCGCGTGTTGAGGACCGGAGGTGGGTTGATATCAAAAATGGAGGTTGAGAATCTGTGGGATATTGCTGTTAGTAAGATGTGTTCTGTGTTGGAGGATCAGTTCTCCAGAATGCAAACTGCTAATCATCTTTTGCTTATTAAGGACTATGTAAGTTTGTTAGGAGTAACACTGCGGAGATATGGGTATCCCATTGATGCGTTGCTTGATGTTTTGAGCAAACACAGGGATAAGTACCACGAGCTGCTTTTGTCCGATTGTAGGAAGCAGATTGCGGAGGCTGTTGCGGCTGATAAATTTGAGCAGATGTTAATGAAGAAAGAGTATGAGTATTCCATGAATGTGCTTTCTTTCCAGATACAGACTACGGATATCATACCGGCTTTTCCCTATGTTGCGCCGTTTTCAACCACTGTGCCGGATTGTTGTAGGATTGTGCGGTCATTCATTGAGGATTCTGTGAGTTTCATGTCTTATGGCGGGCAGCTTGAGTTCTATGAAGTTGTTAAGAAATATTTAGACAGGCTTTTGATCGAGGTTTTGGATGAAGCTTTAGTGAAACTTATCAATACATCGATCAGTGGTGTCTCCCAGGCCATGCAAATGGCAGCGAATATGGCTGTCTTGGAGCGTGCTTGTGATTTTTTCTTTCGCCATGCTGCACAGCTTTCGGGTGTTCCCTTGAGAATGGTGGAGAGAAGCAGAAGGCAATTTCCCCTAAGAAAAGCTCGTGAAGTTGCAGAAGAGATGCTCTCTGGGCTACTCAAAGCCAAAGTTGATGGATTTATGAGCTTGATAGAGAATGTAAATTGGATGTGTGACGAGGTACCTCAGAGTGGAAATGAATATGTAAATGAGGTTATAATTTATTTGGAAATTTTGGTTTCAACTGCTCAACAGATATTGCCATCTCAAGTCCTTAAGAGAGTATTGCAGCAAGTTTTTGCTCACATATCCGAGAAGATAGTTGGGACTTTAGTTAGTGATTCTGTCAAGAGGTTTAATGTCAATGCTATTAATGGAATTGAAGTAGACATTCGGCTCTTAGAATCATTTGCTGATAATCAGGCCTCTCTTTTCTCTGACGGGGATGTTGATGTTTTGAAAGCATCACTTGCCAGTTCAAAGCAACTGATTAATTTGCTATTGAGTAATCATCCAGAGAATTTCTTGAATCCAGTGATAAGGGAGAGGAGTTACAGTAGTTTGGACCACAAGAAAGTGGTGATTGTTTCAGAAAAGTTGAGGGATCCTTCAGATCGGCTGTTTGGAACCTTTGGTAGTCGTGGAGCCAGGCAGAATCCGAAAAGGAAATCATTGGATACATTAATAAAAAGACTTAGGGATGTTAACTAATTAAGCTTAGAGCTGTATGTAAGTTACTTTCTCTTGTTTTATTTTCTTGTTTCGTCTCTAGTCCATTTTGACTATGAATTATTTAATAGTGAGTTGTTGATAAATTTATTTGGTTTAAGGTGGGGCTATCAGTGTCTTGTCTTCTAAATGCATTTTAAGATTTTCCACATATTTGTTTGAATGTACAATTCTTTTGTTCTTTTTTTGTATTTGATTTAAATACTTCAATTTCAGTTTTTTTGTATTTGTGATGAACTGTATCCCTCATGTTTGCTAAGTTGTCTTTGATGTTGTAACATTATGCTTTCTTTTCCTGAGTAGCTGCTGGTGTTCTTTCAACTTGCATGAACTCCTGTTAAATTGCCTCAGATTTATTGGAAATATCATAATAATTTCCTTGCGATTTGCGTCTGTTAATCAGCCTTAGCCTTGTATTATACCACTCAACGATATTAAATAACCGTTGTCATAACACCATAACATGGGACTTTTTACACCTCCGCCTATGGCAATTTGTGAAGGTATGCTTGTGGTGGCACCATAGACCACAATGGCCTTCTTAACCTATTGCCTGTCCAACTTTGGCCAATGATAGATGAGTGTTGAGATCATTGTAGTGAGGTTACTTTTCCAATCCTGTTGTCACGATTGTAGGTTTTACTAAGGATCGTATGTGGGTCTATAAAAAGCACCAATGTTGGAAAGAAACCATCAAACACAACGCATAATATACATAATATATTGAAATCCTTAAGGCTAATTGAATTAAAGAAGCTCTTAAAGTCAATCCCAAGCCAATTAAAACAATTTTGCGATTGAGGTTGTGAAGTGATGCGAACAGAAATTGTTTGCATATTAGCGTTAATTAACCATTGCATATAGTAATATAGTATGCTGTTCACCGAATTGCACCGCGCCCTTGAACACACAATGAAAGAACCATGAAATTTCTCGTAAAGATGACAGCATTTTGACTTGACACGCTTCTAGACAAGTTTGAAGCATACACTAATTGCACACTAGGTGGCAGCTGTTTCTACATTTTCTCTTATATCTTGTGTTTGTTTTAGTCCCGTGCCTGTGTTATCTTCAAAAGAGTGCCACTTCTACTGATTTTGATTCATCCTTTGTATTTCCATTATGTGCTATGTGTTCAACTGCCGTCATGTTGTAATGCTGAGTAATTTATAACGAGATTAAAAATGGTAGATCTGGTATAAGTGTCTGTAGTTAAGATTAAATTAGATATATAAAATCCAATGACACTATATATTATATTAAATTGGCTAAAATTATAAATTGTGTCAAAAGTATACCCTATTGAATAAATATTAAAACTTTACTTGAAATAGTCAAGTACAGGTTGTGCATATTTTTCGATGGTTGGCTTTTCAAAATTATATGATAGTCCTTAAAGGATTTTTCTTTCTCCTAAAAAGTCGTTGTAGTCAAATAGTTATATAAGTAATTATTTTAAGTATTAGAAATCATGCTACTTAATGAGAAATCCTATTAGTCGTTCAACATAGTAAAATATATTGGCATAAGAATTAAATTAATTGATATTTAATACCCAAGGAACTAGTTGTATAGCATTACTATTTTAAGGATTATTTAGGGAAAAAGGTAAATATTTATTCAAAATTATATTTCCAACGGCTACTAAGGGCGTTTCCTTATCGAAGGAGGCAGTTTCACTGCCTTCATCTTATATAAGTAATCTTAATTTCTCCATGAGACGTAGTTGAATTAGAGAGTTTCTTTTTAGCTGCAATTCTTGGTCTAGAGCCATTCTAGAAAAAAGTTCTATATGTAATTTAAGAACCCTTTTTGCCCCTTTTAAAACGAAAAAGAGAATGAAAATAGTTGTTTGGCTAATGAAGTTTGGAGGTATTACTCACATCGTCTGATGTAATCATGCCTATTGCTTGACGATAGGTTCATATTTTCAGTAAGTAAAAGGACGATAAGTATGATTGATGGCCATTTCTTCGTAGGTTGCATTTGCTAAGGATCTTCTTTCTCCTTTCGGCACCTCATCTCAAATAGGGTTTACATTAAGGAAAAAAAGGAATGATCCCCGTTTTGAAAAACTCAACAAATTACGACATCCTTATTCAAAACCTCTTCTATGGTCGAAGTAGCATTTCTAAGTATATCACATGTTGTAAGTTTTATATGCTAGTTTCTATATGTAAATGCTTAAAATGGAAGTCGCGCCTAACGTTCAACATTTTCTAAGACTATAAGAATGTATGTCTAAATAAAACTTCCAAACTATCTTTTCAATACGTGTTCAAAGTGCATTTGCAAAAAGTATAAAAAAACTGTCACGTAGTAATTTGACATGTCTGATAGCAATAATAGCTTATAACGTGCTAAAAATATAAACAATATATAAAGCATTCTGAAGAAAACAATCTCTCTCTCTAAATTTCTTCAGTATTCAATAGGTTAAAAATAAGCGTCAAAGTTTAATCATTTGCGTTCAAAATATCTCCATAGGTCGCGAATGAGTTCAATATTCGCCCCTTTTGGTGTGGCATATTCTAATCCATTTGTACACTGCACGTGCTTCGCGAGTTGCAGGCATTAATAGAATACTAACGTTATATACCGAGTAGGACAAAAACTTGCATACGGAACAAGTCAAGCAAAACACTTCCAGTTGAAGTTAATAAAAGCAATTATATTATTGAAGTTCATGATTTGGTTTAGTATCTGTTCCTCCTGGATCTTAACACACAACGCTTCAATCGAGCTCCACTGGGGATCTAACAAAAATGAAAGCAAGGCGTTCGATCATATTTCTTTGCATTCTGGCTTATGCATACGTGACGGTTTCAGAGGAATTATCAGCGTACGAGGTTCTTGAGAAATATGACCTTCCAGTGGGTCTGCTTCCGCAAGGTGTGACAGAGTATGAGCTAAACCAAAAAAACGGCCACTTCACTGCGTATCTTGAGGAAACATGCTATTTCAGCGTACAATCGTATGAGCTAAAGTACAAGTCCACCATCAAAGGCGTGATCTCCAAGGGGAAGTTGTCGAAGCTGAAGGGTGTCAGCGTGAAAATTGAAGTGTTGTGGATCCCAATCACACAGGTCACTCGCGACGGTGACGACCTCAAATTCTCCGCCGGAGTTGCTTCTGCTGGTTTTAGCACCGACAGCTTTTCCGAGAGCCCTCAGTGTGGTTGTGGATTCGTTTGTGACGATTTCAACCTAAACGGTAACATTTCGCTTCCTGCTTTTTCTTCTCTTTAGATTTAATTGTTAGGTCTCTTCCTTATGGAATTGGGATCTTTTGTTGCGTTTCTTGTGTCCTTAATTATTATCGACGATGATGTTGTTGTTTTTCCTTTGCATAATAATTACTATCCTTCATGTTTATGCAAGACAAGTATCATTCTGCATTCCTTTTCTCCCTCCCACCCACTTGTGTTTTAGAAAACAAGGTGGATTATATGGATATTCTGGAATAATTCTAAGTTTTCATGCAAGACAAGCATCATTGATCAAATGATTAAATTGAAATTATTCAATTGGTTATTACAATCAATTATATTTCATATAATTAGAAATAAGATTTGGGCTTAGATTTGTGGACTATCAGTTCAGCCCAGCACAAGTTCTTAAGTTTTTAGATTATTTAGGATACGGACTTCTTGGACCGGTCCACTTAACTTACTTTCTTCTTGTGCTAACCTCTCATGCAATTATTTTATATATATTTTTTAAAGACTTGTTCCCTACATTATTCAGAAAAATAAGATATAATCAATTATGTGTGCCTAAATTACCTTAGTGAAAATTTTCCTTCAAATATCATTGAAAGTCACATTTTTTATATTTTTATTTTTTCATTTATTATTAGTACTTTTAACCATGTTAAATAATCAATAAACTATATAAACTATAATTGTTCGAGTATAAATTTTGAGTATTAAATAAATATAATATGAAAAATATCTTTAAAAAAAATATAATATGAAATTATAATTTTAGTATTCAGTAAATAACTTTGAGTATTTTTGTACAAACAGTCTTTTAAACTCTAAGATAGTGCTCTTTTACAAATAGATTTAGATTTACATTTCGTATTACCAAATCATTTTATAGTGTCAGATAATTTACTAATATTTACACTTCCCAATAGTTATTATTTTAAATTTATCACATTTGCTTTGAGTTATAATATTGCATTTTAAAGTACATTTGATATGCTTAGAAACATCAATTAAAAATTAAAAAAATATACATGTTATACCTACTTTTAATAAATTATCAACAGAACAAAAAAATAAATTAACACAACCAAGAAATGTATGTGAGCATGGACTCGAAAGAAAATAAATAAATAAATAAATAGAAATCAATTACATAAATAAATGGGGTTTACAAATTATTAGATTAAAAATAAAGATGCTATCCATTCAGACAAATGGATCAAATGAACGCCTTGAAATTTAAAGATATAAAAACTTCCATACAAAAGTAAATAACTAAGCAAATAAAAAAAATGAGTAGTATGTTTAATTGTTTTAATAAAAAATCTTACAAGTAATATCTTCATTTTTGTATTAGAGATTTATCAAAAATTTTGTCCTTTTGAAAAATAAAAAAACCGAATAATCAACCTATTAATGTTCCGAAAATAAGATGATTTTCCAATATATTATTTTTAGGTCTAATGAAATTTAGAAGTGTAGAAAGATTTTGTCGAATTTATTTCCACCATTTTTCAATTATTAAAACGATATATAAAAATCATTACTATAAAATATTTTTTTTAAACAAAATAAATGAATATTTTGTGATTTTATTTTTTATTGTTATAAAATTATTAAATATTTAATAAAAAATGTATTATAAAAATATAATGTAGAGATAATTATAAAATTCATAATTTTTATTTTTTTATATTTAATTTACAAATTTATAATACTTGTTTAAAATTATAAGAGATTTATTGTCTTACTCATATGAATTGTGACCTCAGGTTTTTATTTCAATAATATATTATAAATTTAATTTGGATTAATTGATTTCTTTAAATTAAATTATTTAGTTTTAACAAAATAATTAAAATTTGATTTTAATGAATTTTGATTTTTCTTTTACTAGTTGAGTTTTGAATTACACTACTTTTTTAGTTTTTTTTAAATGCATTTTTTTTACATGATATGCTATAATCAACAAATATTAAATTATTGAGCATTTTACATTTTGAAATCTCATAGAAATATAATTAAATCATATAAATAAGATATAAATTTAATTTTATAAAAGTAAGTTAACTATCTGTTGATTTTTTTATAGTGTCATTAATTTTTTCATTTCTCCACAAGAAAGACCATGTGAATAGTGATAATTATTTAAAGAGAGTATGATAAAGAGGATATTATTCAATTTATTTAAGAATGAGAATTGATTTGAAAAGGACATGGATTAGTAAAAGATTACGTATTCAATTAAATAAAAAACACAAGTAATTACTAAGATTAGATATAAAAAACATACAACCTTGTTCTATACGAAAAATATATTTTTTAATTTTTAGAAAAAATAAAAACTTTAAATCTTTTATTTATAAGATACTATTAAAAAGATAAAATAATAATTAATAATCACAAAACACAACTTATTAACAACTCAGTATATTAATATAACAATAAAATACTATTATTACAATATTTAAATCACCAATCAGAATATATTTTACACGACAAATTCCGGTGAATCATCACTCTTATACACTTATTTTTAATGTTTGGTAACCTGCCATGAATAAATTTGCAAAGAAACTAATTTTTAGGAAAAGCACCTTTTAATTACGTTTTCTTTAGCATCGAAGCCGTCAATGTTGAAAGTTTCACCTTTTATTTTTTTTCTTCCTCATACTTTTCCTTTCTTACGCGTGATGCGATTCACAATCTCTGCAAAATATCACATGCTCCATAACTTTCTTCAAATAAAACACCTTGCTGTTTCTTTTCAATCCCCACCCTGCCTTTTCTGGCCCCTGCAAAATTTTCCCTGTCACTCACGCTGCCCTATGCATATTCTGTCACTGCAATGTTCTTTTCAATTGAAAAAATTGTATTTGCTTCATTCATTTCCACCACAGTCCAAGCCAGAATCCACAACAAAATGAAAACGACCAAAACCCTCAACTATTGGCTTCATCTGAAACATACTTGTAACACACGCTTCTTCTACCTCATAAAACACCAATTGTTTCCCATTCGCCTTTGAACTGCTTTTCATTCTTCATTTGTTTAAACATGTAAAACCTCTTAAATCACGTTATATCATGTTTCAGTCAAGTAGTTTTTTTAATCTTTAAATTAAGGAGTGATGTATAATTCAGAGAATTGTTTAAAAGATAAAAAAAGAAAAAACCTTCATTAAACTCATCACACTGAATCTAATTTGAAAAGATAAAATTATATAACCAATAGATCATCAGAAGACATCACAATAATAAATTATGCTAATTTTCATCCTATTGACTTCTAGAACTAAGGCAAACTCATCAGATGCATATGGAAAAAGCAAAAGACCACATAAGTGAAACAGGGCTTATATCTCCCTGCAGCAGAGTAGAGAACAGAGCATATCAGCATCAATATTCCGTGCCAATTGTGACTAATTAACCAATCAAGGCTTCATTAACCCATCAGACGCTAATCAATCTCGAATGTTGAAGAAATCCACGGTTTAAATCTTTGATCCCATGTTTCTGTAATTCACTGAATGAGATCAGTTGTTGAACTTTTTGACCAAAAGCGTTGCGCGCAATTCAGCAACATCAACCTCGTTGATGTTCTCGGGTTTGTAGTAACCAGTGACAGGATCTGGAACCCACGAAACCTTGTAGGGAGACACCCCTTTGTCTTCCCCTGACGTTGGTGTTCCAATTTTGTTCATGGAAACCACCCCTCCCCTTGTCGCGTTTTGCGACGCCACAGCGTATCCGCGTCTGTTCAAGAGCCACACATTATAAATCATATAATATAATTTACAACCCAAACAACTTAACAATGATAAAACATAACAGCAAAGATCAATTTAAAGAGTGTGAAACATTTAGGGTACCTAGTGAGAGCATTTGCAAATCCTTGGAGAAGGAGAGAAGAAACAAAATTGACGTTAGTGAAAGAACGAGCCATTGGTGATTGAAATATAGTGGAGAGCTTTTATGCAGCGGAATAGAAGAAAAAGAAGCTCCCACAGACTCTGCAATCGCCAACGATGACTCAGTCTCTCAAAATTTCTGATTTGTATTGTGAAGAAGAAGGGTGGTGGGTCATATATATATAGAAGAAATTGTAGGCAAGTAAAGAAATTTAAACACATTTTTTTTCAAAGGTTCAATGAGAAAAATCTTAGACGCGTAAAAATATTACGAAAATAATAATTGATCTGGAACCTCTCTCTGGTTGCCTCCACCTAATAAAATCGCAAAAACAATTTTCAGAAAAGGACCCACATAAATCAAATTGAGATGCCTGTTATTAGAAAAGGCTTTCACAAATGGAAGAAGAATCAATGCTAATCTTGTAATTTAATTTTCTGCCTTTTTTATATTCAAACATTTTTCATCATATTTTCTCTTAATATTATTACTATTATTTAATTGTTTAATACTTATTTTAAAGCATCCCACATCAATAAATGAACAGTTTTTTTAATAGCTTTTTAATCGCTATATCGGTCTATAATGGTGCGTTAAACCACCCTATTTGTCCATGACATTCATATAATCTATAAATACCAATTAATCTTTGATTATATTTTTTATGTTTCATTATAATGTTAATAAGGTTTTTACATTTTAAAATATTTGATGAAACATTAATATTTTGTACTTTTCAACATTAACTAATCACCAAAATCAGTTGCGGAATTTTTAGCCCAGAATCTATGCGCGCAATTCAGCAGCGTCAATCTCGTTGATGTTTTCATAAAAGGAAAATATAATCTAACTATTAATCTTGTTTATAAATAAATATCCGACTCATCCATAAATTTATTATATCTAATATCCATACTGATTGGTTTAATAAAAATTCAATATATTTTTTGAAATATTTTATGTAAAAAATACCATTTTTGTGAAGCAAAAAAAAAAAACAGTTTAAAAAATAAATTTAAGAAAAAAATAATTATAACAAAATAGTTAACTTATTTTTCATCTTATATATAATTAGAAACTCTATTTTAATTTTAAATAATAAATAGATAGGTTTACATGATAGATTAGATAGATTATAAATACACGGATATGTATAAAATAATATACATTTATCTAAAAAAATACAAAATTTTCAGTAAAATATAAATGTAGAAGCAAATTATAAAAATACAAATTATGTAATCATCTTATTTACAATATTTCTTTAACTTGTTGAGATGAGTTGTTTGATCTGTTTATTTTTTTAATCATTTTAGTCTTTTGTTTGCCCCATATAATAAATAATAATTTTTGTTGTCTTGAATTCTCAGAAGTATCATAGACAAGGAGATACTAAATATATGTTAAAAAAGTTATATTTTTAGAAAAAGAGGTCTTAAGCGGAAAGAGATTAAAATTAAACATAAAATTAATTGATAATACATGGAGTAATTTAACAAATATTTAACTCATATCACATTATATCATATAGAAGAAATAATTCAAAATTTCAAGTCTGATATTATGAAATTTGACGGGGAAATGGAGTGGAATAAGAATCGTGGAAGTGATTGGAATAAGGATTACGAAATTGTGATGACGACATGAACAAGAAAGTTAAGACGTATAGCGATGATGAGTCGTAGGTGAAGTGAACCTGGGTGTGTTCTTGGACCCAACTCTTACTACTAAAGTCTATAATATTCCACTGAGCCATGAATAACTCGTGCACAATTTGCGGTCAATAGGCATCCGAGTTCAAATTTTAGGAGAACCAATCAGAGTTTGACCTAAATTCGTTGCTGCCAAATCAATCACGGTCGTGGTTTTGGTCTCATTAAATGTGAAAGGTTTGGTTCCATGGTGGCTACGCCAAAATATTGTAAAATACATTCAGAGAAACCGGAAAAAATAATAACATAAATTTAAATAATTTCTTTTTTATTCGACTTATTTATTTTGTAGGTTAGCGAGTTTAATTTGGAAAAATAGTTTTTTAGCCAATACTTTTTTTAAAACTAACAATTTTATTTCTAAATTAAAAATATTATTTTTGTAATATATATATAGTAAAAATTTACATATCATTTAGATTTGATTATGTGTATATTTGAACAACATATTGATTTTAGAAAACAAGTTAAATGGAATATAAGTTTTTTTTTTTTAAGTTTTTTCAATGACATGATCAGTCTTTTAACAGGAAAACATGTATGCAAAAAATATAAAATTTAAAGATAAAATAAATATTATATATTGATTTAAGATAATATTCAATTATCTTTTAACATTTTACTATCATTAATTTAATTACAATGAAATATTATTATTTTCACTGTGTTTTTAATGAGTGAACTAAATTACTCTTTATTATCCTCACCTAATATGTCAAAGAATAAAGAATACAAATACGATTCTGATTATAACGAAAATATAGATTTATCTTTTTATTTTAGGTCAATTAAGAATAACATGTGTCTCAGTCAGTTTCACTTTATTCCAATGAGATTGGTTCTTCCTGTTTATAAAAGATGAAAAAGTTAAATATATATATATATATATATATATATATATATATATATATTATCACTTTTATTTTAAAAACTACTAATGCTTCATATAGAGGCATCGGTGTGGGAATGGGTTGACGTAGTATAGAAATTTAGAAAGGAGAGTGGTGCGAAAAGAAAAAGGCTTCATAGTTGGGCCTGACAGTGAAATGGGATTTGAGATGGTCAGGCCCATACCAAAAGAGATTGAACAAATTACTACAATAAAAACTCGTGGGTCAGTGGGTGCAGGGAAAGTGTTGAGTGTTCTGAAACCAAAACACTAAGGAGCCGCAACCATGAAGCGGAAGGAAAGGGACGGAGGTACCCGGCGAAGTCAGAAGTTGAAGACGAAGAAGCCAAACACTCAACGCCAGAAGAGAGGTCCTCGTTTGCCCTCTTCTTTGCAAAAACATATTGACAGTTTAAACCCTACCACTTCCTTAGACAGCGTCGATTCCGATGACCACGATGACCTTTACGAGTACGAGGAAGAAAGGGCCGAGGAGGAGTCCAGGAAGAATAAGCGTTACGACCCTGCTTCCGTTAACGATGACTTTTCTGAAGAAATTGAGGTTTTTCTCTTCTTTCCTTTTTTTTTTTTTTTTTTTTTTTAAATACAGTAATGCTGTTATTACAATCTTCATAGTTTTTGTGTGCTGAAGTTGCTTAAATGCTTATCATATTAGGGCATATTTGATTCCGTTTTCAATTTTTTATACTGAAATCTGTCTTCTATTATCTGATGGTTTTTCTTGGAGCTCCCTTTAGTTAAGGGTATGTTTGGATGGATGGAAGGAGATGGAGGAGAGGGGGATAGAATGGAATGTTTTTAAGATCCATTGATTTAATTAAAATATTAACAATGGAAGCTAATTTAACGTGTTGACAAATATAAAAAATTAGTGTTAATAGAAAGAATATGCATGCTCCCCATTATGGCTTATGACCCTTTTTAGTTTCGTGTGTGCATTCTTCCTCTCATTCCTCTGTTACTTGCAGCACGCGCATACACTCACACATACACTCAGCAATCAAATACAGTGGAAACCATGTAGTTTTAATTTTAATATGAAAAACCGACACCTTACCATGGTTGCCGGCAATCAAAGATAACGCTGACAGTGGTAGTGGAAGCCCGCAAACCCAGAAAGGAAGAAATGTCTGCAGTTTTGTATTGTCCAGCGCTGTCTTTAGAATATTTTTTACATACGCCCAATAAAAAAACTATGTGGCTTCGAAGGTCTAAAAGAGAAAGCATTTGAGGCTTGCAATACTTTGTATGGACTAATTTTACAAAGAAAGAGTAACTTCACCCATGAACTTAATTATTAGACCAAATAAGTCTGTATAAATATCCAACTCTAGTGTTGTAAAGTGTAAAAAACACAAAACTTCATGTGTTACTGTGATGAACTTTAGAATGCCTAATGAAATTAGATTGAATCTCACGCTCTTGATGTATATATTCAAACACATTTGGAATATTGCCTTTGGTTTGGATTGGTTCATTAATTTTTAAATTTGTGTTTAACTTATTCTGTCTATACCAGATAGTGTTCATTTATGTGTTCACTGGTATTTTCAGGATGAGAATGTGCAATCTGATGATGAAAGTGAGGACAATGATTACATTGGGACAAAGAGAGATGAAAATGTTCCAAGTGATGATTCTGGAGAAGAAGATGACGAGAGACATGCAAGGATGCTGCAAGCAATTACTGGTCTGCATAGGGAGGCTTTTGAAGGTAAAAATTTCTGTTAAACCTTTGTGTTACCCATTATTTATGTTAGAACTTAGAGGCATGCTGTCAATTTTCTTCTCCTAAGATTACAGAACATAATTAGTTATTGGAGATGCTTATGAAGAAATTTTTAATATTGCATTATAGCTTTTACACTGCACATTTAATATTACATTTTGTCGGTGAAACTATTGAATTATATAATGATATACCAATGATCATATCTACCAAATGTTAAACAATTTAGACATCCATAGATATGCAATATATTTGTAGAAATGTATTTATAATTTAAATAGTATAATACGTGTTAAAATAAAGTGATGTGATGAAATATCAGTTTTGAAATTGTATGAAATCAGACTTAATGTTTTCATTAGAACTTGTATCTAAGTTTTACCATTTTAAAAATTATAGAAGGGTTTGTTTTGTCAAGTTTGACACTTTATGTCAATTGATGATATCCGAACACACTTAGTTTAGCCATACTTGGGAGTAAGCTGAACCAGATTTTGTAGATGAATGATAAGGAGATAATCCTGCTGTTGTTTCTCTCTCTGTCGTGTTTTCATATTAATGATATGTTTTAAAATTTAATAATCACAATGCAGAGAATAAGAAGAAAAAGAAGACGATGAATGACTCTGTTATCCCGGAGCTATATCCAGAGTCTGAATACAATCCTAGTCGTGATGTTGTGGAAGGTGATGGACGCATTAGCATAGAGGACTTACTGAATCCTCTTAGTGAGAAGCCTACTTATGGAAAACTTAGGAAGAGAGAGCTTCAGATTAAGAAGAATACTAGAACTGTTCATGCGCCACTTTCAAAGGCAGTTCAATCGAAGGTTGAGAGAACAACAGCCTATGAGAGATCAAAGAAAGATGTCACCAAGTGGCAGCCTATTATTCAGAGAAATAGAGAGGCACCAACTATTTTCTTTGATGAAAATGTAAATCTAGGATTTTCAACTGTAGGAGCAATAGCGTCTGAATTTGAACCTAGAACTGAATTTGAAAAGAAAATAGCTGCACTAGTTTATGATGACAAAGTTGTGGAAGCTCATAAAATGGATGGTTCTAAGCTTCTTGAAATGAACCAGGTACAGATTCTATTGATATATTGTTGATAATTGAGTTTGAAATTAGTGGTAGTGGCTGATCATGGAATCGGGATCTGATTCAATTTGTCCTTTTTTTTTTATTCTCATTTTTCCCTTTTCTATTGTATGATATCAACATGGCAATGTCTTGATTAGTCATTGGTAAAGTTGAATCAGTTGTGGTTTGGCATGCTTGTATTTCAAACAGTCAAACTCAAATTTGTTTGTTAAATTAAAGTGCTTGGATATACATTTGATTCAAATAAGATATTTCTTCGGGTTATTACAACAACAGAAAAAGGCCCGTCCCAAATGATTTTTCTTCTGCCTATTAAGATTGAAAAAGTTGAACTCATACTAGCTGGAATGATTATGGGGGAAATTAGATGGTATTTTTTCATGACTGGATTGTTTTTTTTTTTTGCGTGGCTGGAGAGGAGGTGATGGGACTTGTTTCAGTGATGTGCATAAAAAATGTTTGATTTATATATAAGGTGGAGGTGTGCTAGACATTTTGAAAAAAATACCAACATCTTGCACAGTCCCACAAGTATTATCATTCTCCCTACACTCGAGACTTGGATCAGGCTTGTTCATAAGGCCTTACTTTTTAAACAATCTCACCTCCTTCAATATTCCTATTATTTCACCTTCTAACTGTACCATGTTGAAACACAGTAACTTCGATGAATAGATATCAATTTCTAAAGACTCCAAACATGCATCACTTCTACCTAAAAGTAATAATGGGTTCCTGCCAAACACACTATATAAGCTGAAATAGCACTTTTGTGATTCAGGCAGCTTCATGGACGTAGACAAAATTCTAAGTCTCAATTAGAGTGATGCCTTCAATTTATCCCAGTTTTAGTTTTAACTTCTAAGTGCCACACAATGTTTCCATGTGTGGCTGTTGGAGTTTAAGAATAAAATGAGCACTTGATTACATCTTTAGAGGTTTGTTTGCCGAGTATTCTTCTTAATCCATGTTTTTCTATGCAAGTGGCATGAAGTGATTGGTGTACTGCTTCTTTTCAACTATTTTATGTAGTTTATTATATCTGACAGGTGTCTATTGAAGATGAGAAGGATAGGCAAAATCGGATTGCTAAAATGCGGAGCCTTCTTTTTCATCATGAAATGAAGAAAAAGCATATTAAAAAGATAAAGTCCAGAACATTTCATCGTCTGTTGAAGAAAGATAGGTTAAAGGCAGAAGCTTCTCAGATACAAATGGACCCCGAAGCTGCTAAAGAATATGCCATGAAACGAGAGCGTGAAAGGGCTGAGGTATATCATCATGCATGATGAAATAATAGCTCAAGAAATTTTGCTAAACAAACGCTGTTTGCTGAGATATCTCGTATCTTTTTGATTAAAACAGGAAAATTATTTCTATTAATCCCTTTCTCACTTCAATTCTCAACTTGGTGGTGCAGGAACGCATGACTCTAAAACACAAAAACCATAATAGGTGGGCTAAGCGTATTATACAGCGTGGTTTAAATAGTCAAGATGAAGGAACTCGTGCTGCTATTGCTGAACAACATCTAAGGCATGCTGAATTGACAAGAAAAATGCACTCTATGAACGGTAGCAGCAGTAGCAGTGAAGATACCAGTGATGAGGATGAGGATGAGAACTCTGCTGCTTCTGATCAGGATAGAGCTTACAAGCTTTTGGGAAAAGCTAAAGATAAAACAATGAAAGTGTTGGAGGAAGAAGATGAAGTTCCCAAATCAGGATTGCTTTCTTTGCCTTTTATGGTATTATCCATACCTGCTCTCATCTTCCTTCTCCTTTTCCCATGAAGGGAACTTTTGTGTAACTTAGTCTCTTATGTCAATTCTTGTTTTTAATCCTGATAAAACTGTAATATATACTTAGATTATTTTCACATGAATTATCTTGTTGAATTAATTTTGTCTCTGGTTTATGTTACTTTTCGTTTTGCGGATTCTTTAGTATCTGAGAGATTGAAAGTTTGTTTTTCTTATTGGTTTTTGGTCTTACATTGATTTGTTCTGATGTAGAGGCGTGGATTGGAGAAAAGAAAAGAGGAAGCTGTTGAAGAAGCTAATCTTGCTTTCCAAGAATATGAAGATTCTTTGAAGAAGCTTGAGAATTCTGGTGGCTCAGAAGATCTAAAAGCTGCTTTGACCAGTGGCAGAAGAGTATTTGGACCAGCCAAAGCTCAGATATCTGGTACCAGTATTAAGGAAAAATCAGATAACTGCTATGAAGGCAGTGATAGTGAGGATGATTTGGGAATCGGCAAAAGTGGCAACATGGAGAATATGGAAAGTGACCTTTTGCATAATGAGGATTTAGTTGTAATGCAACAAGAAACCGATACTCTCCAGAAGTCTGTTTTTAAGGTGATGAAATTCTTATTTTTTGGTCTTTTTTTCTTATGATAATGTCTTGCTCAATGAATATGATACATTTAATGCATTTTTTGTCCACAGAACATTGATGATATTATTGAAAATCCTGGGCCAAAAACTACATATGAAGTTTCCATGTTTGTGTCAGATTCATGGAAAAAGGTTCAAATGCTTTTAATATATTGTTTTTGTTTTAAATTTTAATTTCTTTTGTCAGAAAAATATATTCCATTTATGAAGTGGCTGTTCTGTTGCACTGATGTATTTGTGATAAGCAGGCAAAAAACAAAAATGAAGACACAGCTATGAAGAAGTCTCCAAAGCTTACAGGGCCAGTTAGGCAAGATATAAAAGTATGAGCTCTTTCTATTTTGTTATGAGTATAAAGCGTGTTGCTGGTTTGGCCTTATATTTTATCCTTTTTCCTTAGGATACTGAAAAGGAACTTAGAGAGGATAGTGATACCGATAGTGAAGGACAGATGGTGGATGGAATTCTGTCTTCTGTTTCTAAAGTGCCTTATGAACTTCCTTCTCAAGAGGAGCTCATTCGGCTAACTTTTGCTGGGGATGATGTAGAAGATGATTTTGAAAAGGACAAGCAGGAAATCCTCAACCTAGAAAATCCTGAGCCAGAAAAGCCTCTATTACTTCCTGGCTGGGGCCAGTGGACACATATACAGGAAAAGAAAGGTTTACCGTCGGGGATGCTGAAAAAACATGAAGAGGCCCAAACAAAGAGGGCAGAGGCTCTCAAAAAGAGGAAGGATGCTCGGCTAAAACATGTGATTATATCTGAGAAGATAGACAAGAAGGTTAGTGGCATTATATACAAGGGTTTTGACCCTTCTATATTATTTTCAATGCCTGCAAAAAATCTTCGTATTCGAATTAGAAATTTGTGTAGTTATTTGGATTGTCATATAATATTGGTGTTGCTATGGAAGTTATCCTCATCATGACTTGTTACAACACCAATGTTATTAATAGATGTTATCATCATTATTACTTGTAGTAAAATATTCACTCCTACCTCTTTATTCAAAACTCCTGTCTTTATTATTTGGTTTCTCTTGCTCGAAATTTTTGCAGTAGGTATTCATGCTCTAATTCTAGTTTTATGACTTAGTGGCTCGAATAATTTAGTAATTTTGCCAACTCCCTCGTGCTCCTAAGTATATGCTGTCCAGTTCCATACTTGTTATTTTGTGTACGTGTTAAATTTTCTTTGTCGAGTAATTTGTGCTGGTTTTAATTCTATACTCCCTTTCGGATATGGCAGGCTGAGAAACTGCATACTAAATCATTGCCTTTCCCGTTTACTTCCAAAGAGGTCTTTGAACAGAGCATGCGTGTGCCTGTCGGACCTGAATTTAATCCAGCATCTGCAATTGGTCTTCTTAATCGACCAGAAGTAAGTACTTTGGAACACTTCATTATCAAAGTTTCTATTCCTTTAATTTTCCTGTGTTAAAAATAATCACACTGTAGTGTTTTGACAGTCTTGCTTCCCCTTGGAGAAGGAAAGACCTTTTGGTTTATTGGATACTGTTTAGGATTTTAGTAGGTTCTTATCCTTTTACCAAGAAATATAGCTGTCTTCTAAATATAATCTTCCATATGCAGGTGGTGAAGAAACCAGGTGTTATTATAAAACCAATAGAGTTTGAAGACGTGAATCCTCATGAAAAACCAGAACAGCGTAGTGGTGGTGATAAGCGAAAGTTAAAAAAAAATAGTCGCATTGGTGGCAAATCCATAAAAAAGGCGAAAGCAGGAGGCAAAAGTTAATGGACAGGAGTATTGGTTCTGATCCATTTCTTGAAATATTTAGTTTTCTGTCTTTCTTTGGAGAAAGACGATATTCATTTTTGCAGGTTAAAAGAAAAAGATGAAACATAAAAGAAAGAAAAGGTGGAGAATTTAGTAGCCGCGGAAGCCTATGGGCATGCACGAAGGGGTAGAAATAGATCAGTTGGTGTTTGTATTTTGCCGGGGTGTTTCCCCCTAATTATTATCATTATCAGGTTCAATTGTGTATTATTTTTCACCAACGAAAAATGGCATTTTTTATTTTTTGTGCCCAATAGGTATAAATAAGTATTATATTAAGGTTGTGGAAAAAATGATATTTATTTTGATTTCATTATTTGAATATTTTTTTCGTTAGATTATCCCCTTCTAAGTGCTAAAGATGTATTCTAACATGGCATTTAACATGTAAACTATTTATTCAGGAGGTCCTTATTTCGATCGTATCCATTGGATAAATAATTTTTATATTATAAATATATCTAATAATATTGTACTGGAAAGTGTGTAATTAATTTTCTTGAAAAAAGCATTATTAAAACTTGTTTAAATACTCGGTGCTTGACCGAATTCTATAATAAAATTGAGTATATTTTCAGCGTTGTGACAACCTCAAGTTCACAAATCATCCAATTTACATCTATCATATATTATATTTTATTAATAAAAATAACTTTTATTATTTAAATTTAAAAGAAAACTGATGATATATGATTGTTATAGGTTGGTTTAAGACTTGCAGATGTTAATTAATATAACTTTTTTCATATTGTAAATACTCCAACGATCAAATAAAGGAAAGATTCTTATTGTTTTAAGTTTGAAAAAATTATCATTATAATAATATATTCAAGTGTGTCTTCTAAAGCTTTTTTAAATTTAATTTATATGAATTAATAATGTATAGTTATTTTTTTATATGTATAATGTTCAATAAAAATTACTCTATCACAGTTTCGTCGTGCATTAAATTTGTGCGGTAAAGAGATATTTGTATACAAAAATTGTACAATTATAATGCATATAAAACTCTTTTTAATTACTATAGAAGAACATCTATACATCATACTAAGGACCATGTGAGAATTAGACCCTTTGATTGTTATTTTAACTGGAGATGAGTTTCCGTTCCACCAAGTTATTATCTGTTGACTATAGCTTTGTTTCACTATTCTCCAACAACCATTGTTTGAAACCTATGTGCTGGTGGATCTTGCCTGTGCTTCTAAAGTGATTGGTGGTGGATCGCTTTTATTGTCTCTCACTTTTTTCTTTGTAGATGTGCATATATGACCTAAGGCACAGATTTCTTTGTCATATTCTAGTGCCCTATTCAAGAATTGGGTCTGGGAAGCACATTTTTATAGATAGGTTAAGGTGCATATGCACACTCGTGTTTGGCCTGGCACTAGGACTCATTTATGCCATGTGAGATCGTCCATGATGAAGCTTACTGATGTGCAAATACAACCAGCTAATATAATAATTTGAATCAGCTCCCCTAAACTATATTGCACTTCAATTCATAAATGAACACTCCTTCAAAGATATACAAGTACATACCATCAATTGTATAGAGGATAATGCTATGAAGCTAAGACCCTTGTAGCAACAGAAGCATCCTTTTGAGGCTAATGAGGGTGAGATGAAGCTTATATGCTCTTCTATAACTCCTCAAAACCGTCTTCGTCTCCTTCATTCTCTATCCTTTGGAATTCTCGTCTCCATGATTCCATCTGCCATAATATTAATGCCTTGTTATGCCTTATTACTGTGCAATACCAAGTCAATTTGAATATAAAGTGCCTCACCTGATCATCAGAATGTAACAACTGTTCTGCAACAAACAGTATTCTATTGTTGTGCCCTGTTGCAAAATCTTTACCATAACTCCCTGCAACCCCTTCATAGTTGATTATTTCCACCCGAAATCCCTTGCTCATGAATAGTTTATCCACCCATTGCCTTGTATTGGACTGTGCAAGAGACTACAAAAGATTCTCTTTTTTCTATCTTTTCTTTGACAAGAAAAATATTTTAATGAATTAATTAAATTAATTGTGCGCTAACCTTGATTTCTGTTTCTGTCTCAGCTAAGCAGGCAGGAAGTTCTCCCACAAAAAGAGATCCCTTCATGGCCAAGCTGCTAATCATTGACAAAACCTCTTGAAAATTTGCCAGTGTCATCATTGGAAATCCCTGAGCAGGAATAAACCCACGTGATTAACCTCTCAAGCAAAGACTCCCCTTGCCCCAAAACTAATTTTGCTTTTGATCTCAAGAGTTTACTAATTGGGATAAAATTGATAGGATTAATCACCTGTAGGACCCATATGCTTGGTCTACTACCACGATAGCCCTTTAATTGAATAGCCTTCTCCAATTCAGATGCCTCCTGTGGAATATGCCAGAATATGCAACCTTTGGGGATCTTAGCCCCAGCATCTGAAGGTTCAAAAAGACACAATTAGATGTTTTCATTGTAGAGAACGCAAACTACAAAATAAAATGATACAAAAATGAAAGTCATGGTGAATGATACGCATGAAATTGTGAAAACAAGCTAAAATTCGTATTTACAGATCTTTGTGAGGCACAACTCTTTCAACCTAGCAGAACCCTGGTTTTGTTGAATTTATAAAAACAACGTTGTAGTCTATGGATCAGTTTCCACCTGGATTGGGTTTCTTTCCTAAGCTTTTCACTTACATGAGAGAGAAATAGACGGATATTTCATTATATTGGAATACTTTGTGTCTATTTTTCTCTTCGTATGCTGTAATAATTTGAAAATACTTACCTAAGAGAATCCAAATCTTGACCATCTAGCTTGCATGTATACTTACAGCTTTTTTGCTCACACTACTGTCCCTATTATAAACTTTGCTCAATGATATTTAGTTTCGACAATGATATATGCTTAAAATATTATCGTCTACTAAATCGACAAATGTCACCTTTAAGCTTCTCAGCTGCAAATTTAAATACACTTTCAGGGGATATGTCAAATATTATGGTCGAATTGGGCCACTGGAGTCTGTATGGGCGTGTATCCATGCCATCAGTCAACAAAACTAGCTGCAATTAAGGAAAATCCCTATCAAACTATGCAATATCATCCAAATAACCACCAAAGTACTTCAAATATTAAATGAAAAGTAGTAATGATACATACATTCCACTAACATACATCCACTAAGCAAGTACCTGCTTTAGTTCATCACTAAGACTCACTGTATGAAGCAGCTTATCATCAATGAACTTGGTTGCAAGACAATAGGGATGCAAGTCCCGAATCACATCCTCGGGTGTATTATCAGGGACAAAACAACCAGCATATGGGTCTAGAAACAGAGGCTCTGCAGAGAAGTGATACTATGAGACATATTGATCTTCTACACCACGTGACATGAAAATGTGCAGCATCTAAACGGCATAAATTTATTATTTGCTTCGAAAAATGTGATAAATATATAGAGAGAAGGTGGGTGGGGGGGAGTAATGATACATACATTCCTAAATCAAGCACTCCATCAATACCTATCATAACCACATTTGTCTCTTTTTATGTTTTTCCTGTCGCGGTGTTACAAAGCATTTGGTTTCCACCAATATTTTCCCAACGTGTACAGTGAACTCAAACAACCTACTTCGGTGGCAATAAAATGCTAGCTTAGCACGATGAACCTACAACTACCATATATTGGACCACTCTGTATAAAGTTTTGTACTTTCGAAGGAAAAAAACCCAACCATACTCATGCATTATTATTATTATCCATTAAGACCCTTGAAATGCTCGATGAAATGTCTAAACGAAATAGAATTTCCTAGAGAGGAAGAGATGGGTTAATTTGCCTGGTCGAAGAGATTCATGGTAACGAAGAGAAGCAGAAGCAGTGGCAGAAAGGAGCAATGGGTCATTGTCTCGGTTGAGTTTTGCAGTGGAAAGACAGAGTTTCCTTTTAGAGGTGCATAAGAGGGAGGAAAGTATATTAATACAAGTTACAGGGAAAGGTTGCGTAAAACCCATCAAGCATTTGAAAAAGGATAAGGATTTTTAAGACTCTTCTGAGTCCAAAACAGTTTATCTTAATCGGTGTTCACCTTTCCCTCCCCCATTGCTTTCTGCATGTTACAAATTTAACACTCTTTAACACACAATTTTTTTTAATGAATAAATAAAATCTCTTATTTAAAAAATAAGAATTAGACGTTTTTTTTATTCCGTAATTGGTATTTTTTTTCAATTTAATAATAATTCCTCTTAACAATAAGATTAAAAAAAAAAACTGATTTTTCAGTGTGTTACTTGGTTTGAATGACTTACAAACTAGTTAGATATAATGTAAAAATATTTTATTTTAGAAAAACTTGAGTGATTTATTGTAATTTCGATATGTTAAACACTTTTAATAAAAATGCAAATTTTGTAACGATTAAATATTTTAATAATAATATCAATAATTTTGGAATGTAGTTGAAATTAAATATCTCAAAGTGACAAATTTTTATTTTAAAAATGGTTTTAAAAATTTCAAAAATATAATTAATTCATTTTTATTAAAATTATCATTTAAAAAGTGTAACACATAGAAATCTGTGACTCTGGCTATAAATTGTGTTTATCAAAGAAATTAGCTAGCCAACAACAAATAACAAAATTAATACATAAGATTAGTAGGTTAGTGTTTGGTGATCTGCAATTCCAAACCAGATTAATGCATTAGGTGTAAATGTTTCTGTTTTTATCTTTCATTTTCATTAATTACAAAATTATATCTTTCTTTCAATATTCTTTAAAGATTACATAGACAAACATTACAAAAGAAAATTAAAATTTATAATCCATCACAATTTAAAATAAATAAAAGAGCCCTTAATTATTGGAGTGGTCCTTATGTTAAAAATGAGAATTATGAGTATGTGCATGCAGAGATCAATAGATATCTATGTCCATGTTTCTCCTATACCCATTATACATTTTCTCCCGTAGAAATCATTAAGATTACATAACTATCACAATTAAAAGTAAACAATTTCAGAAACATCATAATTTTTCTTCTTGATACACGAAATATTGCAGAGCATCCTCATCCATATATCCAGACAATGATGCAATGTTTGAGAGTTCCAAGAACAGCTATCATATTGTATGCATAATTTGTAAGGATTGATGGAACAAGGAGCCTCATTATTAAAAGAGATTGAAATTTGAAAAGTTTAAGGAGCACACGGAATTAGGTCTTTTTATTGAGTTCAACGCTCACCCTACCTCATTATTACTACATCCTTTACGTCTTTTCAACATATAATTCTATACTTTTTTTTAAACTAACATTAAAATAAATTACATAATAAGAAGAAAATTTACAAATTTTTATCTGTTTTACCATATAAAACATACTATTAATGCATGTTGACTTTAATTTATTTAACTAGTTAGCATTTGGTAGTAGTTTATGAAAAATGCATGAGTGTTTTAAAAATATTTTTCATTTATTAAAATCATTAGAAATCACTATGTGTGATGAGGAGTTGCGTCTTTTTACTAGTTTGATGATTTGTAACTTTAATAGATTTTAAATGATAAAATTTGTGCTCAAAAATATTCTTAAAGATCATGAGAAATTTGTGTGTATCTTATTTTAAGATAAAGTATTTTTTATTATAATAAGTTCATTAATTTATTTAGAAAAATTATATAATTATTTTAAAAAAATAATATATATATATATATATATATATATATATATATTTTATATAAGTTAAATGTAATTTATCCACATGTTAAAAGTATAATTTTAATAAAGAAACATATAAAAAAAATTGCAAAATAACTTGTAAATAAATTAATTTTAGATTACAGAGAATTTTATTTTTTTATTTTGTGATTAAAAATATAAAAATAGTTATTCAAAAAATATGTATTACATATTAAAAATAAACTCTATACTGCTTAAAAAAATTAATTTGAAACAAAATTAAGTGTAAATGAAAAATTAATAAAAAATAAATAAGATCAAATATATATATTTATATAAAAGAAATAATCTCCTCAGTTCTAATTAAAAAAATCACATATAATTAAGTTAATCTGTTTTTATTTCATTATATTTCTAAAAATATCTTCGGTTGAATCAATATTTAACTTTTTTAAGCAAAGTTATTATTTGTATTTTTATTTCACAAAAATAATAATAAGAACCTTCTAGAAAGAGTTAGTAAAATTGAATGTATAATTGATTATTTTTAATTTTGTATAAATAAAAACAGAAGAAGTATTTGGATTAAATAAGTGAAGTTTTGAATATTAGAATTAACACTAAACTAAAAGTTAACGAATAATTAGTTTAATTGTAAAGGAGAATTAATAAAATATAAAACTTACTAATCAATGGGTTAAAATTAAAATTGAATATAATGTTCTGTTACATTATGCATATGTAAAAATAATTGATTAATTAGGTCAACAGTTAGAAAAGCATATTATAAATACGACACTTGTTGACAGTCTCTTTCCAAAGGGACAGAACTCGAGTCTTTATACTTTCTTCTCTTCCTCTTCTTTCACACCCTTTTCTGCTATTCTTTCTTCCTCACTTTTCAATTCACAACTTCCATCACTGTCACCTGCACCAGACACGCTGATCCATCAACAAACACTTGGTGCAGCAAGCAAGGTGTTCGTTTCTTCCTCTTCCATGGATTTAGAGTTGGAATATCAAGAAGTAACTCCTCCCTTTCTCTCTCTTAATTTCTTCTTCATCGTCATCCTCCCCTTGTTATGCTGATCTAATGAGTACAATTTGTAACATCAGGAGTACAGGACGAACTCGAGAGGAGTGCAACTCTTCACCTGTAGATGGTTGCCGTCGTCGTCCTCTCCAAGGGGCCTGGTTTTTCTCTGCCATGGTAAGCAATTCCACTTTCTCCATTTACTCTCTCTCTCTCTTAGTAGTAGGTGTGGTTTTATTTACTTGCCTTTCATTAATTACTTCTTGCAGGCTATGGCATGGAGTGCAGTAGCTTCATGAGAGGTAATTAATGATCTTCTTTTCCTTCAAAAATATTTCAAAATTACAGTTTTGTCTTATATTTTACTTAGTCCTTTCCTTTTTAATGTAATATTTAATACATTAAACAAAAGAAAAAAAATTGCATGAAATAAAATTCAATGCAAAATTAATTTTTGCACAGTAGAATTAGAGAAAATTTTATTATGTATAATTAATAATTACTTGAAACACTTCAAATTACATCAATTTTTGTTATTTTTAAGTTATTTGTCGGGTTGTGGTCGTAGGTGGTTCAACCTACCTCCACGAACAAAGGAAAATGTATACCTGAATATTAATTCGTTCTTATTAATATAATATATTATATTATTTGATTATTTATTTTTTGAGGAAAGGGATTCGTTCACCGAAATTTGGAGTGTGATGATGAGTAGGTTTGATTTGATTGCATTGGTCAATCTTCAAAACAGAACCTGTGATTGTGAAAGTGAGATCTTTGACAAATTTGGTTGGTGTGGCTACCAATATTTGATGCTAATGGCATTGCGTGTTGTAACCAAAAGGTAGCTATAACACTGTCGTGATCCAACCATAATTCACACCACTACCCAAAAATGAAACGACAATTTTCTGCCATTTCTTAGAGTTTAAGATTTTTTGTTGTCACTAAAAGTTACTCCATGAATCTCACAACCAGGATAGTTTGAGTAGTAGAAGGTAGAATTCTTTAAATTTTATCACTTCTTTCATTTATTTTATGAGACATTTAATTAATAAAAATAAAAGAGGAGAGGGAGAGAGTAAGGAAGACTATCATAAGGGTGAGTTAGGTGTTTCAAATCAAATTAATAAAAAAAAATTAAAAATCATTCTTTTTTATTTTGTAATATTTTTATTTTAACAACATAGTTTATTCAAAATTTAGATTAAAAATAAAAACTTAATTGATTAAAACTAATTTATTTGTTATATTTAAATATTTTATAATATATTTTAGAGTTAATTATGATTAAAAGCATATAAGTTTATTTTTTAAGATTATTTTTTTATTTAATTACATTATATTAATAATATATTTATAAAGTATTATGATTAATTTATATCATGATTTTATTATAAAATTATAATGTATTCATAAATTTAAAAATAATAATAATTATATAAAAATTATAATATATTTTTTTATTTGATTTATTTTTTATTATAAAATATTTAATAGTTATTTTATAAAAGAATGTCATATAATTTTTAAAATTATATTTATAAATTTTATAATAATAAAAATTGTAAAAATTATTTAAATCAAATAAAAAATATTAATTAATTTAATTTAATTTTATATTAAATTAAACTAAATCAAAATGCATTATATATATATATATATATATATATATATATATATAAATGATTATTTAATAAAAATCAAATTAAACAGAACTACAAACACAGATAAGATTGAAAAAGGAGTGAATGGATCATTAACTTTACTAGTTTTGTTTTTACCAGTACAGTGTACGGAAATATTTAGTTATTTTAATATTTTTAAACAGTTATTTAAATTTAAGCATTTAAAGAAATTATGTACATATTAAAACATAAATAAAGTTAAAATGTAAACTTAATTTATATTAATATTTTCACAGATCTAACAAGTTTTGATTATTTTATCAAATCATCTAATTTTAAATATTTTTTCATTATCAACACAATTATTTAAAAAAAAAAAACTGACAATACAAAACTCATTTGTGATGGCTGGTACAGTGATCAAACTTTTTTCATGCAATTATTAACATGATTGACAATAACATAGATTCTAATTAGATTCTTGTGTAAATTAAATGGTAAAACTTTGTAGAGTAATAATACGATTACGATAAAATGAAAATAAAAATTAACAGTAGAGTTACGTAATTGTTATGGTTTCATGATAATGATGATGGATGTAGAATGTGGGGTAAGACTAGCGTGTGCCAAGTATGCTGTGTACGGTATCGATTATGAAGGACATGGACGTTCTGAAGGTGCTCGTTGTTACATCAAGAAGTTTGATAACATAGTTAATGATTGTGATGACTTTTTCAAGTCTGTTAGTGGTAAGGATTCACATAATTTAAACTCCTAACTCAATCGAAACATGAGATTTTTGTACAGATTTATGATTTATTGCTTATTTCAGTGCTCCAAGAGTACAAGGGAAAGGCTAGGTTCTTGTATGGAGAGTCCATGGGAGGGGCAGTGAGCTTGCTTTTGCATAGAAAGGACCCTTCATTCTGGGACGGTGCAGTTCTGGTGGCTCCCATGTGTAAGGTATGAAACTATGACTGTCTGAAACATTTGTTGAGCTAAACAAAATGTTCTTTTGACAATTTTTTTTGTTTCTAAACATAAATTGATCACTGTTTATCTAAATGTTGAAAAACAATAAGCAAGATATCAGAGAAGGTGAAGCCACACCCAGTGGTGGTCAACATTTTGACTAAAGTGGAAGATATAATTCCGAAGTGGAAGATAGTTCCCACAAAGGACGTCATCAATTCAGCCTTCAAAGACCCTGCTAAACGAGAGAGGGTGAGGTTCAACCTCCTTCATCAATATTTATTACCTTTAATGTTTGTATTGTTATTGAGTTGAGAGGCTTGCTTAAATGAGTCAAAATCTTTCTGATATAGTGCTGGATTTAACTAATGTGTCTCTTCCTTTCCTTGGAGGGTCATTACAGATAAGAAAAAACAAGCTGATATACCAGGACAAGCCCAGGCTAAAAACAGCATTAGAAATGTTAAGAATCAGCATGAGTCTAGAAGACAGCTTATATAAGGTTGTATTATAATATAAGCTTGGTTGTTTTTATATTGAATCTAGTTCATAATCAAATTACCACTTTTTTAAATATACCTGATTTTGTTAGATTCATTGGATGGGTCTTGAGCAGGTGACACTGCCATTTTTTGTATTGCATGGAGAAGCAGATACAGTGACTGACCCAGAAGTAAGCAGGGCATTATATGAGAGGGCGAGTAGCAAAGATAAAACCATAAAATTGTACCCAGGAATGTGGCATGGCTTAACATCGGGGGAGACTGATGAGAACATCGAAGAAGTCTTTGAGGACATTATAATGTGGCTGGACAAACACACCAGCAATCCCACTCATGCTTCCCAACAACAAGTTGAAACTTATAACTCTGGCATTGAGAGATTGACCACAATTACATCACCAGCAAAGATTGTAAAGCAAGCAAACGGGCGAAGAAGCTATCTTTGTTGCTTGAAAGGAAACCGCTTGCTATACCATTCAGCAATTTAGATTGTAGTCTTAGGGACTGAGATTGTGACCATGTAGCATGTACCTACATATGTGCTGTTATTATGGCTGTTTTCCCCATGGTTGCCTGATCAATACGAGTCCAACTTGATTACGAAAGTAGAGCGATTTGTGCCAAAGCTCCAGTTAGCGTCGTTTAATAAAATTTTCACAGGAAAGACCAATAAGATTTTATGATATTATCACTAGGGTTATTATAATAGAATAACACCAACAAAAGCAATGTGTAAGTCCCCCTATAATGCAATAACAAGGATGTAAACGCAGGAGAGTTAGAAAAGACAATTCCCGTGTCTGTTTAATTCGAATAATTTGATATGGGGAACATCTTCAACAGGTTCAATGAAATTGCAGTTGGTGTCGGAAAGTTAGATTGTCTGGGAATACCTCCGTTTCATAAACTTTATCCTGTTTATTTAGTACAGAATAGATCCCATGGCGTATTACATCTTGTGAGTGTGTATCCATCCAACAACGGGGGGAACAAGGGTCGCAATTCTAGAAATATATAATATAAGGACATCAATGGTACATACTAGGAAAAAATGGTAGAGGATAAAGGACAAAGGGGAAATTTATGTATGGTTGATATGCTACTGTGACTAATGAACTATGAAAAGAGGTGGGAAAACTCACTAACTGTTTTCTGGCTAATGCTATGAAAAATGTAAACTACAATCCCCTTTCGCACTTAGTATGAGGTATATTTTCCAAGCAAGAATTAGGTAGAGGTTGCTCCGTCCTTTTGGTCCCCAAAAATGCGTAGTCGGAAGTCAGAAACCATTAGAGGGAGTCCCTTGCGTAGGTCCACCTTGGGTTCCCAGCCCAGTAACTCCTTGGCCCTACTAATATCAGGCTTTCTCTTGTGTGGGTCATCCTCTGTGTTCGGCCTGTACTCTATCTTAGCCTCTGGATCTATTGTTTCTTGGACCACCTGCATCACCATCGCCAAATATATTATGTTATCGTTCGTGAGCCATAAAACATTTGATCACAAAACCTCCTTTTTTTTTCGCTGTTGGGGCCTTTACCCCAAAACTTTTAGTCACGTTACCTAATTTTATAGTGTGGTTTAGTTGAGGCATCTATTCCTGGTTTTACTTAAGATAATAAGAAAAGGAGACATTAATAGCAGAATAAACTGGTGTTCCTTGCTAAGAATGACGCCTAATAAGTAAGCTTTGTTTCATTTAACATACCATGATTCTGACATTGTTTTGTCAGCGTAAAGTGAAATTATTCAGAGCAAGAATTTCTACTTTACCTTGGCAAGTTCAAGCATGGTGAATTCACCGGGATTTCCAAGATTGAAAGGTCCCACATGTTCTCCTTCCATAAGGCGCATCAGCCCCTCCACCTACGACATCAGAAACACCCCGTTAGTCGAAAAAAAAAAATGAAAGCATATAGTTAATAGTCCAGTTGTGACCAGGCACCAGTAATCCTACTGGTACTGATCAAGAACTTAATTTATGACGTTATTTTATTATTTAAAATGAAATAATCACTATCATGCATTTATCATACAACGAGGTTGCCTCTCCCTTTTCTCCGTTGTTTGAAGAGTGGAGACTTTGCTGTCCCACGAGCACTTGTTTAATGGCCTGCACAATCACCTTCTCCATCACATGGCAATACCTCTGTAGATAAACGGGTTCACGCAGAACATCGAAAACGCAACGCACGGTGGAGCCTTCGGCCCTTTGGAAAGAGCGTGAAATTAAGGTTTGGAATTATAATTTAACCTTAATTATAATTTTGAAAATTACAAGTATCTTTTAAAAATTAAAATGGAAATTTCTAAATTAAATTTTATGGAATTGCAGTGTAATTAACGTTGACATGACAGTGTCTTCCATTCAATTACACTTTTAACTTGACACACATTACACAACTATTCTTTGCTTTTAGTACTCTTGGTCGCTATTATTACCACCTTCTGGTCACTGTTACGTCTATTCTCAATATTAGACCCACCACTATCGATCTTACTGTCAGTCAGAATTACCATGAACCATTGTCATCACTAATACTGTTATTCTAATGTTTGATGGAGATGAAAGACTGTTTATACTGAAAAGAACGAGAATTTGTATTTAAATAAATAAATTTGTGCAGAAAAAAAGAAAAAAGAAATGCAAGAATATGTTTAAGCTCTTTCCTGTCTCAAGTGAGAAGAAAAAAAAAAAAAGGAAAATCACGTAGATATAGGTAAAAGACGGAATTTATAATAAATAATTTTGTAATTGTTTATTTGTATAATTTTTAATAACTATTTTAAAAAATTATAATTTTTTAAATTTGTTTCTACATACAAACAGTTTTAAAAAAAATTATTATTATTTTTTTAAAATATATACTCAATATTAAAATATGGATAATTAATTAAAAAATTATATTTATAATAATTTTAATCTTATTTTATACATAATTAATTTTCTTAAATAATCAATTAAAATTATAATTTTTATATTCTATATCAATCACAATTTCCTAAAAACTTTCTTTTTACTTTCTATAAATCTAAAGAATTTTAATTTCTCCTCCCATTTCTTTCAAATTCCTCCCTTTCTACTCCTTCATTTTCACTTCCCCAAATCACTCAGTCCAAACAAATCCTAAGTGTCACCACCCTCGCCCTCGCCGTCACTCTCTTAAATTAGATTGAAATTCCTGTTCCCAGCTCCAATTCCAATTTCAGGCATGAATTTATATTTAATTAGATAAAACTTATTAACAAGTTTACCAAATAGATGAGAGAGAGAAAAAAAAATATATATATATATATATATATATATATATATATATATATATATATATATATATATATATATATATATGACTTACCAAATCAGAAACGTATTGGAAACTTCGAGTTTGCTTCCCATCCCCATAAACGGTCAAAGCCTCCTTCCTCAGTGCCTGCATTAACGCCACCAATTAGCGATATTAGTTTACTAAGAAAGTCAAGATGCATTGTAACACGAATTAAATTATGTAACCCATCTAAACTTCAAAACAATTGGCTTACCTGAGCAACGAAGTTACTAACAACGCGACCATCGTCTAAGCACATTCGGGGCCCGTAGGTGTTGAAAATCCTAGCTATTCGCACCTGAAAAAAAAAGTAAAAAATAGAGAAAATTTTATCATTATTTTAAATTTGCTAGAACAATGAAATTAATTAGTAAAGACAAAATATCTAGATAATAATTAAATAAATTTAATACGGAAACAATTAAGTGGTAGATACAATGGGTTGAATGAAAATACCTCAACTCCAGCCCCTCTGTGGTAATCCATGGTCAACGTTTCAGCCGTACGCTTTCCCTCGTCGTAGCAGCTTCGAACACCTATCACAAACATGTACAACCATGTCATGTCAGACAACCCACCCTAATACGAAGAAACCACCGCTCTTTTATGAGGGATGATATTTTCACATCTAAACATTTAATTATCAGCCAATGCGGTGATATTTTGATATCAATAAATCATCCAATCCTTTAAATAATTCATTTTTATTAATATAATAATCTATAAAATAATTGAATAAAAATAAAAATAAAATAAAATTATTATTATAATATTAAAGGAAAATTGTTTATATAAATTGTATGAATTTAGATTATAAAAATATAATTTTTTCTTATATTAATAAGATAATAATAAATATTATTATTATATTAATAAGGTTGGAGTATTTTCACTCTCTTTAATGACCTTTAGTTGTACAAGTTGGAGGGTGAGAGAAAAAATATATTGACTTAAAATAAAATTCATTGTTTAATTAAAAAGTGATATATTTTGAAAATAAGAAATCATTCTACTTTTTAAATAATTTATTTTTATTAATATAATAATCTATAAAATAATTTAATAAAAATAAAGCAAAATTATTATTATAATATTAAAAAAGAATTATTTATAAAAATTATATGAATTTAGATTGTGAAACATTATTTTTATTAAATAAAAATAAAGTAAAAACAAGCTGATTCACATTTATATTCTATTTTAAAAAAATTATCCATATTTTATTTTTTATTGTGTTTTAATACTAAAGATGACAGTGAAAAAGACTACCAAACTAAGAAAAAGTTTGAACATAACTCTCACTTTTCTTTATGTTGATTGGATGATAAGTACTATTTCTTTCCTGTTTGTTTTAGCACACCAAACAATCGTGTTGACCCTTCTATGTTGTAGCTTATAGGTTAGCCGTTACACCACACCCTCACTGAAAACACCAATACCAACCAACCAAACCTGATGGGTTTTCACCTTTCAGGATAAGGATTTTTAGTTTTTTACCATCAGAGACCAACGAAGATCCGAACCCTGGAACCGTGGATTTCACGTGGACCATGAGAATTTTGACAGGGTGTGCGAAACGTGGTCCTCTTAAGATTTCCCACGTGTCTCATAGTCCAACAACCTTGGTGTTTTGACTCACCTTTTCTCCACCCACCTAGAGAAAGTACCCAGGTTGAAAAAGAGAAACACAGGGACAACGCTGTGATGTCGAAATGCCCCGATTGCCACGTGACACTCAATCACTCCAATTTAAACAAACTAGTAACCACCATCGCTGGTGCAGAGCATGTGAGGCTCACACGCTAACGTGCAGTCCAAAATATAAAAAAAGGAAAACAAAATGAGAGAGAGAGAGAGAGAGAGGGCTCACCGATGGGATTGACGTTGCCCCAGTAAGTCTCCTTCTGAGGGTGCTGCAGAGGATCTCCATAAACCTCGCTGGTACTGGTTAACAAGAACCTCGCGCCAACCCTTTTAGCTAGCCCCAGCATGTTCAACGTGCCCACCACGTTGGTCTTGTGAACCAAACTACCCCAATTAAGGATTCCAATTCCATTAAAATACTGAATTCAAGGTAAAATAGTTGGGAGAGGAAACTAAAGAGTGGTTAAACGTAAGTACTAATAATTAAGACGCATTGAATGTTATGATGCGAGTAAAGAGAAGGAAATGAAAGGATATGATAGTCTTGACCGGATTGAACTTGTAATGGACAGGGGAGGCGGGGCAAGCGAGATGGTAGATCTGGTCGACTTCCAAGAGGAGAGGCTCAACGACGTCGTGTCGGATAAGTTCAAAATTGGGGTTCCCGAAATGGTGCATCACGTTTTCTTTCCTTCCAGTGAAGAAATTGTCAACCACAATCACGCTGTCTCCTCGGGCAATCAACCGATCCACTAAGTGCGACCCGACGAATCCGGCCCCGCCCGTCACCACGATCCGGAGCCCCTTCCGCTTAATCCCTAGGGGAATCTTCCCCACGGAATGCACCGCCACGTCATAGCTTCGGGTGTTGATGGTGGGCGTTAAAGAGGCGGGGAACGGGTCGTGGGCCTGGATGGGAGGAGAAGAGGAAGGGAGGAGGAGGAAGAAGAGGGAGGCGAGGAGAACGCCGAGGAGGAGAAAATGGAGTCGCTGCTCGCGGAGGATGTAGCGGAGGGAGAGCCATGGCTTTTGCGGCTTCGGGGAATACCCGTCGTTCACTGGTTGAACCTCGTGCCCTCGGAAAACCAAGCTCGAAGCCATTTTCGCTGCTTCAATTCACGATATTAATTGTTGATGGAGTTTTTTTGTTTGAATGCGTGGTTGTGAATTTGATGTGAAGAGACGAGAATGAATGCGGAGAAGACGGGGAGTGAAAGTCGTGGTGGTGCTGGTTGGGTCTCCTTTTCAGATCCAAAGGTCTTCGTTTGTTTATAAAGCTACGCAGGTTCTATCCTCCAACGTACCTCAAGTTCCATCAATTCTGTAATTTGCAACTAAACTACATGTCAAATACATTCTTTTTTTTTTATTCTAACAAATCTTGGAAATTCCACTTTCATTTGATAAAATGTTATTTTATTCATAGCTTCCGAACGTTTTCTTATGCTTACATTTATAATTATAAAACAACTGTTTGTTAAAATAATTATAAAAAATACAAAATGTTCTGGTCACTAATTAAATTTGACTACAAATTTTTACAAAGTGATTAATACAATGTAATTAGATATGACTCTATTGTTGATAATAATGATGATTCTGTTTTGTGGCATAAAAATAAATTGGAGACTTTTGAAACTTAAAAAACTATAGGAAGAATTTATGTAAAGAAAGACACCATATATTAAAATTAAAAACGAACTGAAATTGGGGAAAATTAATCAATATTATTTGAGAGGAGTAAAAAAAAAATATAGTTAATGAATGTTAGATATTTAACATAAATACCTATGATAAAAAAAATGCATTTTAACATTTTTAATACAAAATCGTTACATATTCAACACAATTAAATGTAATTGAAGAAAAATAATGAATTGATCACTACTACAAATAAAACTTTCAACGTCGGTTCGGAAGGCTTTCAACGTCAGCTTAATAACCGACGTTGTATCGAGCGACGTTGAAAGTCGTAACTTTCAACGTCGGTTCTAAAAAATCCACGTTAAAGTTTTTACTTTAGATAAGCGGTTATAAGGGAACCGCTATCTAATATACAGATTATAAGTCAACTTTAACCGACGTTGAAAGTATGATTTTTTAAATTAATAATTTTGATTTATTTACAACCCCTTTACCCCCTTTTATTTATCTAGAAGTCTCCCTCTCTTCATATTATATTTTTATTAGGTTCTCCATCTCTTTATATTATATTTTTTAGAAGTTTTTTAATTTTTAAGAGAATTGTCATTGGCAGGATTCGAACCCAAGTATTTTAGAGTTGGAGGCCGATACTCCAACCACTAAACTACTTGAATTTTTTGATAATAACTTACAAATAAATTATATTTATATACAAATAAATATATATCCGTGTAAATTTCACTACTAGAAAAATGTCAAATAGTAACTTCGAATCTCAACCCCAACATCAACCTCGACGAACTCGAGGCCGAACCCCAACTCCGGCGACATCGAACCCCAATGTCAAGCCAAACCCAATTGTCATGCTCGTGAAACCCAACGCAAACCCAGCGGAGCTCGAACCCTAACGCATACCCTAGTGACGTCGAACTCTAACCTCGAGCCAACCCCCACTTTAATTCGGTCGCAATTAGCGATTGATTGATTGCTCAAGGATGTGTAAAAGATGATATATTCAATGTATGTTAAAAAAGTTCAAGCCAAACTGTTTTTATAGAAGATTTTCAAAATCGCTGGTTTAATTAATCTGTTAAAAGATTCTTTTAATCTGTTAAAAGTGCAGTTTTAATATGTTAAAACTTCTTTTAATCCATTAATACGTTCTTGATTCTTTAACAGATTTGTTTTAACTGATACGACAACGTTTATATCAATTAAAACACTTTACAAAAAATCTTCTAAGTTGATTTAATCGATTGTTTCGCGATTCAATCGATTGAAATACTGCAAAACTTTCTCGTGACACTTTTCAAGTAATTTCAACTGATAAAAATAAGTTTTAATCGATTAAAACGCTTGCAGTAAATTGTTTTAATCAATTGAAAAGAGATTTAATCGATTAAAATAGTTCTGATCGGTCATAACTACATTCTGATCGATCATAATTGAAACAATATAATAAGCGGTTCCGGGTTAACCGCTATCTAAAATGTATCTCGCTTGAGCGACACCCTTCTCGCTCGAGCTAAACGCCCTGCACAAAATTAGCATTCTCGGGTTGTATTTCGCTTGAGCGACACTACCTCGCTCGAGCGAAATTAGATTCTGATCGATCATAACTTGAAATGATCGAACATAATTGAGAGGATATAATAGCGGTTCTCTTATAACCGCTATCTAAAGTGTATATTAGATAGCGGTTATAAGGGAACCGCTATCTAAAGTGCATATTAGATAGCGGTTATAAGGGAACCGCTATCTAAAGTGCATATTAGATAGCGGTTATAAGGGAACCGCATAACCGCTATCTAAAGTGTATATTAGATAGCGGTTCCCTTATAACCGCTATCTAATATACACTTTAGATAACGGTTCCCTTATAACCGCTATCGAGTAAGTAAAAAATAAAATAAAAAAGACTTTCAACGTCGGTTCATATGGGAACCGACGTAGAAAGTACTTTCTACGTCGGTTGACTAAGAACCGACGTAGAATGTGTTTAATATTCAATTTCAACGTCGGTTCATCTGAGAACCGACGTGGAAAGTACTTTCTACGTCGTCTCAGCTATAACCGACGTTAAATAACGACGTAGAAAGTATATTTTGTAGTAGTGAATGTTGAATGGGTTATTAGACATCAGACAAACACATCATGGAAATGAAAAATATAAGAAATAAAAAATTTTGAACTCATTAATCATTTTTATATTTTATCTCTCTCTCTCTCTCTCTCTCTCTCTCTCTCATATATATATATATATATATATATATATATATATATATATATATATATATATATATATATATATATATATATATATATATTTCACTTCTTATGTTTATCTATCCTATATTTATTTTTTCATTGACCAAATTCTATTATTTAGGCTCGATTTAGTCGAAAGAAGAAGAAGAAAATAATAAATAATACAAAAGAAATCGATTAAAATAAATAAGTGAAAATAAAAAATATTTTATTTATTATTATTATTATTATTATTATTATTATTATTATAAATAAATAATATAGCTATATTGATTGCGGATATGGCTCATAATATATTCTACTGATTAAAAATCACTTCAATTTTGTTAGTTTCGTCATAACCGATCTCGAAACTCTCATAATCAATTATAAAATTGTTTTACATTACTTTATCATCATTTTCCATGACAACTAATACTCTTTCATTCTTTTCTTCCCTTTCACTATTCAAGAGAAACAAAAATGTGTTTTCATAAATATTTTTAATAACCAAGATTACATTAGAAATAAAGATTTGATTTTTTTTTCATTTTTTTTTACCAGTTTAAAAAAAACAAAGATGTGAATAAATGAGACTGTAACAGTATTGAGACCACACTTTGACAATAAGAATGAACATTAAATCTATAATTAACATGTTCAAAAATATCATTCTTTATTGAAGAATTTAACATATTTTTAGATTCTATTGTCAACTATGATATTTCAATTTAATTCTTTCTAAATACTAGTTTAACTAGAGTCAGGTATGGGTAGGGTTAGGTGGAGTTTGAAAAACTTTTGACATCTTAATGACGAAAAAATGTATTAAAAAAATAAGTTTAAGAAATCACTGAACATTAATTTCTTTATTATCCATGTTTAATGGAATTAAATTGCTTTTAAAAACCTAAATGGAACCCTAATTTCTTTAGGTTGGGCATTTTGAAATCGGGTTTTTCAAGTGAAATTGAACTAAGTCATAATCACTTTTAAATTTAGTTAAAGTTAACATAAGTTAAAACTAATTTGTAATATGAAAATTGGTTCTCAAGTTAACTCATTTAACCAACCATTTGTACTTTGATGTTACCTAACATGTTTAAATTTATATTTATACCAGTAACTAGTAAATATTTGTACCAACTTGTTGTCTAACTAGTAAATAAATAAATTATTATAAAAAAAGACTTCCCATGACAATTTTATGTATAGATATAACAATAAATGCAATAAAATAAATAACATGATGGAAATAAAAATAAATTAAAAAAAAGTCCCTTTAAATTGATGCAGATAATTAGTGGTGTTGACATTTTGTCTTTATTCATTAAATAATCTGTTGGATTTGGCACCTAATTTTTTGAGAAAAAAAGATATTTTGAGAACCCAAATCCATACAACTCCTCTAAACGAGAATATTATAATAATAGTTTTATTTTATTAGAAAATGATACTTTGACAACCCAAATCCATACAACTCCTGTAAACAACTCTGTTTTAATATTATAATAATAGTTTTATTTTATTTTTATTTTTATTAAATCGATCTATAGATTATTATATTAATAAAAATGAGTTGTTTGAAGAGTTGTATGATTTCCGATTGTCAAAATATCGATACTCTATTTTATTTTTATTTTTATTAAATCAGTCTATAGATTATTATATTAATAAAAGTGAGTTATTTGAAGAGTTGTATGATTTCCGGTTGTCAAAATATCACTCCTCTTTTTTGAGTTTTAGTTACTTGTTTTCCCATTCTTAATAGGCATTAACGTAATACAAGGTTTTTTATATCATGAGTTAAGCCCTATAAATGTGGCTCACTATATAGTATAAGCTAAACGTGTTAATAAAATAAAAATAAAATTTGCTCGAGATCACATATATTTATTATAACCTTCAAGTAATCAATCTCGTCATGTGAAATTCGAATAGGAAATAACGATTGAATACGAAGGATTATCCACGAAAGTCCTAACCCACTATTGATAATAAATACAAGAAAGTATTAAATTAAAATACATAACATAATTTAAAAAAATTACTATTGTTAAAAAAAACTTTTGAACAACAACATTAACCATCTCTTTTTACTCAAAAAAAAAAGTAATATCATAGTAGAGTAGAAAGGGACAAAGGTTTCGTATGTTTCTATTAATGGTAAACATATTTAACTTATGTTTAAAGGAACTTACATAATCACT